GAGAACGGTTTTGATAGTGGTTCGATTAAAACTGTGAATTTGGGCCTATTTTTTGCCAAGAGAATCCTCAACATTTCCTTTTTAGAGGTTTGTATTACCCGCACAAATAAGTGGATGCTGTCTAAAGCGGGGGTACTCATATTTCTTAATAATTTTTTTCAATTAACTTTAGGTTTTAGGTCGTTATATATAAGCAAAATTACCCTCCCGACATTTTATTTAACCCACCCGAGATAGGTTTAGACTGCCGTTTTGTATTTTTAGGTTTTTCGTTTTTGTTGTTTTGCTTCGTCGACGACCCCTATTTTTGGCTAAGTTTAGTATATAAAGATACATACTGTATACTGTATATTATATAATTACATATTTAAATAGTTTTATATCCCTATTTAGATAGTGATTTGCATCAGTAATGTAACCACGTTTCACCCTGTAGGATTTTACTAATTTTTTTCTAAATTTCTATTGGCTGAAATTATTCGCACCAATTTACAGTACATCTTTTTTATAAAATGATATCTTTAGTTGGGGTTAGTGTTAGAATTAGTGGGTAGCATTATACCAAAATTTCACAAGGATTTTTATTGTTAGTACGCAAAAGGTGATTTTTTAAAATCTTAAAATGAAGAATGATGAATTTTTTCTGCCTATTATGAAAGCCAAGAACTAGCATTTCATTGATATTTTGAGATTAATGTGACCTTTCAGAAAAATGTGATTGTTTTTTAATACATTCATATCATATTTCGGTTTGGCGTGAAGATTAATAATTTAGTCAGGAAGCAAAATTAATGAAAATCATTACGTAATTATGTAATAATAGCTAAAATGTGAGATATGATTGGTTGACAAGCACGTGTAATTTATACAGTATTTAAATCATTTTGAACGGTCGCTAATTTTATGTGTATTGCTGAGTCATTACATTATGCTTCCCAAAATCGTGTGTAAAAAATATTCTAAACGAAAAACAAGTCCTGTAAGTAATTGATTTTACCTTGTAGTACTCGTCCTTTAGGTTGTTTTGTGATACCGCCGCAGAGTGGTTACTCATGGTTGTCACGTAAGCTATAGTGGAGGGCGGACAATTTATGAACACAACTAGCACTCTAGTCATTGTGATGCTGCTACGGTGGCTAACGCAGGATTGACCACCCAAGGAAGCTATTAGTATATGTTTCGATTTATGAGCATGATGTAGTCTAAATGAAAATAAGGCCTGTTTTTTTTAAACGTAAAAGGACAATATTCTTATTTGTTGGGTATGATGAGGAAAAAATATTATTACTTAATGTCATTGACATTAACAAAGCTTTTTTTTTCTCTTTTTTTTACAGACTGAAGATAAGGAAAATGAATCTCCACGGGCTTCAAAGCAAAGAACCTATTCGGCTGAGGTCTTAACCAAAGAGATTACCAGCTTACGAAGGCAAATAAGCGATTTACAAGAATCTATTAGCAAGTCCGTGCATGGTATGTTCTCATGTTTATGTGTTTTTTTTTTTAATATTTCGCTTTTAATATTTCGTTTTTTAATATTTCATTTTTTAATATTTCGTTTTTTTATGAGACAGATTTTGAGGTCATAGTGTCGCCAAAGAGGAATAAACCATTTCGATGGACAGTGAATATCGAATCAATAACCATCAAGAAATTCAGGAAGCACATTTTTGATATATATAAAACATCCGCTTTGGAAAACCCAACAACAACACTTAATTTCATCAACGGTGCCGACGTATACAAACCTAGAGACGATGATTCATTTAAAGAAATGTTGAGGATTCTCTTGGCAAAAAATAGGCCCAAATTCACAGTTTTAATCGAACCACTATCAAAACCGTTCTC